GTTATCCTTGTTGGTTGGAATGCAAAAGTTGGAAACGAAGAATCACTGGTAATTGGAAAATAGGGGCTTGGGAATAGAAATGATCCTGGAGATCACATAATAGAATTTTGCAAGACCAGGCACTTATTCATTTCAAATACATTTTTCAACAACACAGACAGCAGCTTTACACATGGACTTCTCTAGACAGAGTACAAAGGAATCAAATTGACTACATCTTGGCAAGAGGCAATGGAGGAGCTCAATATCTTCAGCCAAAACAAGTTCAGAAGCTTATTGTCGACAGTCCATCAACTGCTCATATATGCAAGCTCATGTTGAAACTGAAGACAATTAAAAGAAGTCCACAAAGTCAAAATGTGCCCTTGATTATATCCCTCTTGAATTTAGAGACTGTCTAAAGAGTAGATTTGATTTATTTAACACTAATGACCGAAAACCAGAAGAACTGTGGATGACATCAAGAACATAATCCATGAAGAAAGCAAATTGTCATTCAAAAGACAGGGAAGGAAGAAAAGACCAAAGTAGATGTCAGAGGAGACTGAAACTTGCCCTTGAATGGAGAGTAGCTAAAGCAAATGGGAGAATCAACAGGATAAAAGAGCGGAACAGAAGATTTCAAAGAGCAGCTAGAGAACATAAAAGCAATTAGTATAATGAAATGTGTAAGAATCTGGAGTTAGAAAACCAAAAGGGAAGAACATGCTCAACATTTCTCAAGCTGAAAGAAGTGAATAAAATATTTGACCCTGGATTGCAATATTGAAGGATTCTATGGGCAATACGTTGAATGATGTAGGAAACATCAAAAGAAGATGGAAGGAATACAGAGTCACTATACCAGAAAGAAATGATAGACAGTCGTCCATTTCAGGAGGTGGCATATGATCAAGAACCAATGGTACTGAAGGAAGAAGCTGAAGCTGTACTGAAGAAATTGGCAAAAAGCAGTGGTCCAGATATTGACAGAATACTCATTGAGATGTTTCATCAAACGCACCCACGCTGGAGGCACTCACTTTGCTATACCAAGACACTTGGAAAACAGCTACCTGGTTAACTGAATGGAAGATATCCATATTTGTACCCATTCCAAAAAAAGGTGATCCTGCAGAATGTAGAAATTAACAAGCAATATCACTGATAACGTACTTAAGTAAAATCTTACTGGAGATAATTAAAATATGATTGCAATAGTGTATTGACAGAGAACTTACAGAAATGCAAGTTGGATTCAGAAGGGGACTTGGAGTGAGTTATATCATAGTTGATGTCAGATTGGTCTTAACCGGAAGCAAAGAATACCAGAAAGATGTTTATTTGTCTTTTATTGACTATGCAAAAGCATTCAATTGTGTGGATCATAACAAATTACAGATAACACTGAGAAGAATGGGAATTCCGGAACACTTAATTTTCCTCATGAGGAACCTGTACATAGACTAGGAGGCTGTCGTTCAAACAAAGCAAGGAGATATTGCATGGTTTAAAGTCATGGGAGGGCATCAGGGTTATATCCTTTCACCGTACTTAATCAACATGCATGCTGAGGACATAATCCGAGAAGCTGGACTATATGAAGAAGAATCTGTCATCAGGATTGTTATTAATAATAACAACATTTGATACTCACATGGCACATCTTTGCTTTCTGAAAGTGAGGATGACTTAGAGCACTTACTGATGACAATACTGATAAGTATGGATTACACTTCAATATAAAGAAAGCAAAAATCCTCACAAGTGGACCAATAAGCAGCATCACAGTAAATGGAGAAAAGATTGAAATTGTCAAAGACTACTTATTACTTGGTTCTACAATCCACACCAATGGAAGCAGCAGTCAGAACATCAAAAGACGTATTGCATTGGGCAAATCTTTTGCAAAAGACATCTTTCAAGCACTGAAGCACAAAGATATCTTCTTGAAGATTAAGATGTGCCTAACATAAGACATCTCTGGTAGCATAGTGGCTAAAGCACTTGACTGCTAACCAGAAGGCTGGCGGTTCAAACCCACCAGCCACTCCTCAGAAGGAAGGTTGGGCAATCCTACTTCCGTAGTGATACTGCCTCGGAAACCCAAGGAGGGGTCACTATGAGTCAGGGCCGACTCGACGGCACATAACAACAACAACAACAAAAACATAAAACATTGTTAAGACGGCACATAACAACAACAACATAAGACATAAGACATAGTGCCTGAGGCATTTGACTGCTAACCAGAAGGCTGCGGTTCAAACCCACCAGCCACTCCTCGGAAGGAAGGTTGGCAGTCTATTTCCATACTGATACCACCTCAGAAACCCAAGAAGGGTTAGTTATGAGTCAGATCTGACTTGATAGCAAACACAACAACACAAGCCGTGGTATTTTTCAGTAGTCTCATATGTATGTGATTGCTGGACAATGAATAAAGAAGGTCAAAGAAGAGTTGATGCTTTTGAGTTGTGGTGTTGACGAAGAATGCTAAAGGTACCATGGACTGCTAAAAGAACAAATCTGTCGTGGAAGAAGTGCACCCAGTATGCTCCTTGGAAGCGAGGATGACCACACTTTGTCTCACCTACTTTGGTCATGTTGTCAGAATGGGCCGTTCTCTGGAGAAGGATGTCATGCTTGGTCAAGTGGAGGGTCAAGGAAAGAGGGGAAGGCCCTGAACAAGATGGATTGACATGATGGCTGCAGCAATGAGCTCAAGTATAGATAGTAGTGATCATGAGGCTGGCCCAGCAGTGTTAGGGTTGCTTTGAGTCAGAGATGACTTGATGACACATAAGAATAATAAGAGTAAGTTTTAGTGTCTCTTCTGACATCCATTTTGGTCTTTTCTTACTTTCCTTTGAATGAGCTTTTGCTTTCTTCATGTATGATGTTAATGTCAAACTACATTGTCTGTTTTTCAGCCATTTGTATACATGTGTCAAATCTGTTCTTCAGATAATCTCCAATTTCAGGTGGGATGTAATTGAGGTCATATATTGGCTCCCATGTGCTTGTTTAATTGTCTTCAACTTCAGTTTGAACTTGAAAATGAGCAATTGTTTGTGTTTTGCACTGACTGCCTTTTAGCTAAACATATTGGGGTTCTCCATGGCTTCTTTCCACAGAGACTAGTTAGTTTGATTCCTCTGAATTCCATTTCATGTGCCTAAGGCATTTGAATGCTAACCAGGAAGTTGGTGGTTGAAGGAAGACTGAGCAATCTACTTTCATAAAGATTTACTGCCTTGGAAACCCAAAGGGGTCTATATGAGTTGGTATCAACTCAATGGCAGTGCGTTTGTTTTTCTGTTTTTTTTTTTTCCCTCGTGTTGTTGAAAAATGAGTAAGTCATTGGTCTTGCAAAATTGTAGCTTGTGATCCTTGGCTCCTTTTCTGTCAGCTGGGCCATTTTTACAGCTACATGTTATTTGTGTTTGTCTCCAATTTTTTCGTTCCAGTCAGCAATAATAATTAGTGCATCTTTAAAAAAAAAATTATTTGATTTGATTGAATATTCTGAACAAACATGTGTTCCATGCAGTAGTTCATACACATGTTTTATGACATTGACTGTAATTCCCCACAGTGCAACAGCTCCCTTCTCACTTCCTTTATGACATTCTCTCTTCTGTGTGTCCTTCTTTCCTATGCATTCCTGTCTCCCAAGCTATCTCACTGTTCAGACACTACCCTTCTGTTCTCCCATGATTGATCACTCTAAGGAGTGTATCAACCTGTTGTAACTTCACCCTGTATTCCTGTCTATTATTTGACTGGAGTGGTGTGAGTAAGTTCAATTCCAGCTCTGAAGGGTAAGTAGGGGCCATTGTCTTGGGAATCTCACCATTGCTATATCAGACCAGGAAACCTGGTCTTTTTATGATTTTGAGTTTTATTCCACATTTTTCCCTACCCTGTGCAGTATCTCCTGCACTGATTGTTTTTGAGTGTTTCACGATTGTATTGGGCACCATTTATTTCTTATGGTCTCATGTGATAGAGCTGAAGTTTGCATGGTACATGATTTTGGTAATAACCAATACATCTTGATTGCATGTTTCATTAATTTCAGACTTGAGAAAGTGGTCAAAATCTCCAGTTTCCTCATCTTTGGCTTTATTGGTTGCTGTGTAAACTTGAATAATTAACCAGCCTTCCTTGTAGGTATATGGATATTGTCTTATCACTTACAATATTATACTTCATATTACATGTACTTAATTATATCTTGAAACATTCTTGGTGATGATGAATGCCACACTGTTCCTCTTCAGTTTGTCATTCCAGGTATAGTAGATCATACTATTTTTTCATTCAGAATGGCTAATACCACTCCATTTCAACTCACTAATGTCTCAGACACTGATCTTTATGCATTCCATTTAATTTTTGAAAACTTCCAATTTCCCTAGATTCATACTTTGTACGTTCTATATTCCAAGTATTAATGGATGGTTGCAGCTGTTTCTTCCCATTTTTAGTCATATTTCTTCAGCAAATGAAGGTCCCAAAAGTTTCACTCCAATCATTATAATTAAGGTCACCTGTACTTTAGGAGGCAGCTTTTCCCCATTCATATTTTGAATGCCTTCCAGATTGGAAGAACTCATCTTGTTGGGACTGTTACCAGACAATATATCAAGGCCAGTCATAAAATTTTCTGGTAATATGTCAGACAGTGTTTCATTGCTGTTTATAAGGGTTTTACTGGCCAATTCTTTGCGAAGTGGATTGCCCTTTCCTTCTTCCTAGACTTAAGACGTCTTAGTCTGGAAGCTTTGCTGAAACTATGCTTGACTGTGCTAGTGTTGCAAATAATGGCAGCAAAGCCTCCAGCCACACAGCAACGTACAAACCACCACAGTATAACAAACTGACAGATGATTCATGACTTTGTTGGCAGTAGCAGGGAATGCAAGATGAGAAGTAAGGTATTTTAACTTTGATTACATGTCCTCAGTGATGCATACCTCTTTTAAATAATGGAAGACATTTTATTTTTCCCGTAGCATATTGATAAAATGTTCAAACATAAAGACCTGCAACAACAGCTTGTGGATTCCAAACTTCAGCAGACGACTCAGCTCAAAAAAGAAGCTGATGAAAAACATCTAAGAGAGAGAGAGTTTGTAAGTTCTGTTAACAAAAAAAAGGTAGCCAAAATTTATAGCCAAAATATTTAAAAAATTATTCCTCATTCATTGTTGCACCAGGACATACATAACTATCTGATTTATTTACTCATATTAGAGTATGTGTGTAAACATGTGTGTTTATGTGTATTAGAAAACATTTAACGTTTTCTTTGTGATTCTCTTTTATATTAAAAACAAACTGGCCATGTTAGACTAAGGTGGTGAAAACACCTGTGCTCCATTTGATTTTTTTTGTTATGCTTACACTGTCATTTCACTTTTCTTCAGGTTCATGAGTTTGCCAAAAATTTAGTTTAACACCAAATTTGCCAGACATAGGTATTGGACATACTGCTACATTTTACTTTTTAAAAAGTAGATAGAAAAAAAAAAAAACATATATGATTTGTGCATTTACTCTGAGATAATTTTCCAAGAAAAATTTTCACAGAATTCTCTACCCAAGTCATTAGTATTATTTTCTCAAGTATCACTCAGTGCTGTCGAGTTGATTCCAACTAATAGTTGACCCCATTAGGTTTTCGAGGCCGTAAATCTTTACAGAAGTCAACTGTATCATGTATCTTTTGAAGAGCAGCTAATGGGTTCAAACCAACTTTTTGGTTAGCTTCCAAATGCCTTAACTACTGTATCAGCAGACCTCCTTTTCTGAAATACAGGATCAGATTATTTTCCCTGTCAATAACTGGAATAATGTAGAATTTTATTTAATATGTGTACTTAATACATTCTGCAACCTCAATCATAATATACTGTTAAAAAAAAAAAGAGAGAAATAAAATAATAGATTACAGTATAATAGTGTGGACTATTCCCTCCAGCAATTCATTCATTCATGTTTATCTGCAAGATAAACATGGTATGAAAGACTCTTTTTCTTAATAAACCTGAAGACGTGATTATTTCATTTATGTATGAAAGTAGGGTTTAGACAGATGCATTGTTTAAATAGCAGGACCTTCAGTGCAAACTGGATATCCTTTGCCCAACTGAAGAAGCAGTTGCCATTTCCAGGTTGTAATATAAGTTAGACATTCATTCACACATACATAGTTGTATATAAATTATACTTATTTGCTTTCTAGGAGCTCTGATGGTGTAGTGCCTGAGGCATTTGACTGCTAACCAGAAGGTTAGTGGTACAAACCCGCCAGCCACTCCTCAGAAACTCGAGTAGGGGTCGCTATCAGTCAGAGCCAACTCAACAGCAGTGAGTTAGGTTATGTTTTATATGCTTTTTAGTTTGTTTTAAGGATTTTTCAAGGCTTATTTGAACTGTATGAGATTTTGCTTCAGGAAATCAATTCTGTAACGTGCTTACTATGCAACTTCACTGTATAATTTTCTTGAAAACTGTGCTTTTTAAAAGTGACCAGAAATGGAACTTTGTTTTCTCTGCTTTATGCACTATCATCCTACCTTATCTGATCTCTCATTGAATAGAAGGGCTTTCTAAATACTCAGATGTTGTCAGTGTTCCTAGGCATGTTTTTTGCTGATAAAGCCAGAAAGGTTATGATTTTGCCTGAAACACAGCAGTTTAACCCAGGTGGGTCAGATCAAAGGTAAAGGTCATTTGCAGTTGATACAATAAAATGTTGCATGAGATTTTAATACTTGTGATTATTGCTAAAATAAAACAGCAAGTGGAAGGACTTAGTGGATGAGCTAAGTCTAAGTTTGTAATCATTTGACATTTCAGTTACATCTGTAATTATTATTAGTGTTTTGCCTGAATGTTTTTGTTTCATAGTTATTAAGAGAAGCAACAGAATCGAGACAGAGATATGAACAAATGAAACATCAAGAAGCACAGCTAAAACAGCAGGTAATTTTATAGTGTGGGACAGTAGCATTGGTAGCTACGTATCATGAATTATTAACTGGTCTGTTTTTTATTTTTTTTTTAAACGCCATACTGAGCCAGAATTGAAATAGAGCATGTATCTACCTTCATACTCTCCTGTTCACTTAGGGTGACCAACTCCTGATTTTCATTTGCTTTGTTTTATGATGACATTGTCTATTGAAAAAAACTTTTTATAAAGCAAGCATGATTTATAGTGAAAATTCAAGAGGACTAAAACCTTTTGAAAATTTCAGAGATCTTTGAAGAATCCACCATAAATTGTGATCCTGCTTCTTTGAATCCTTACTTTGTTAGCTTTATAAATTCATTGGCCCTTATAAATGGAGAAGAGAATCAGTGGGGAGATTTCTGAAAGTCTTTTAGAAGATATGCTTTAATTTGGCGTCATTATTAATATTTCAGAAGTGACAAATTACCAAGCTCATAGTCCATCTCAAATTCTGCTGTATTTTCCAACCTTTGTTCCCTGTCTGTCATATTTATCATAAACTTCAGGTTTTCTATCTAATCATTCTCTCATTTCCTTTGCTGTCATCTTTCTCTTCTTGTTATTTAAATGTGGCTGACCTTCCCAAGAATCTGTTTCATTCTATGATATTACATGCTATTTTTCATTATATGTTCAAGATAGCCAGTACGTCTTGATACCCGTTATGTCTTTTTTTTTATTTTATTGTAATTTGGGTGAAGATTTACAGAGCAAATTCACTTTCCATGCAGCAGTTCACATATACTTTGTCTCATG